TGTCCTACAACGCACACAAATCTATGTGCAATTGTCTTTTGGATTCACCCCATTGAAGTGGCCAGGTGTCTCCGTCTTGATCTAGGTTAATGTTCAATTAAATCCCATTCATCCAATCCACCACTTATCCTCATTCCTCCTCTCCATCACTCCCAACCACTACCCATCCACTTTCCCACTCATGTAATTATCTTGTATATCCTTTCATGTTATCTGTTTAAAGGTCTCAGCGGGTTACAACTACAGTAAGCTTCCAACAGCTCGAATAATATTTAAAGCCAATTTTATAAAGTTGGAAAACATTACTAAAATTATACATTATTTAATATATAATCTATTAATATAACAAATAAATCTTTTTAATTCTGTACTTTAAGATATATCGAAAAAATATCAGAAAATCCATGTTGTCCATTATGTCACAAAGATATGTCCAATAACGAGGTAAATTTCACTCACTTGTTATAGTAATACAATATTAATATATTTTATTTTAAAGACTATGGACCTTACTACTGAATTATCTGATGAAATACTACATTTGCCAGATAATATAAGACGAGCGGAAAAGATTTTGAAAGAAAATCAGTTAAAATACGAAAACTTACTGCAGTTAAAGCCTGTCATTGAAAAGGTCGCAAAGCTAGAAAAGGATATACCTAAACGCAAGAAACAGTTAAATGATATTAAAGATAAATTGGCAGCATGTGCTATTGAATTAGATACTTTACAACAGCAAATTGCAGAACCAACTGCAAAAATGGATTTGGCTAACTCAATGTTAAGTGACATGACTATTTTGGATGAAGCTATTAAGGATGTTGCACGTTTTAAAGATGAACTACATAAATTAAAGGTTTGGTCATTTTAAAGTAAAAGATATTTATTTTTGATATATAATACTAAATTGCTAGTTACTAATGAATATTACTAATTACTAGACTAAATTACCGAGTGACTATAATCCAGATGATACTGTTTCTATAGAAAATCTTCAATTAGAAAAAACTACACTCTCGGCAGAATTGGAAAATGAACGAAAAAGTATAGAAAATATGCAACATTTATACGAAAAAGTAATGGAATCTTTGAATACCCTTCGCGAAAAAAAGAATACGTAAGTTTTCAGTATGAATTATAAAAGTTTAAAAATATTTAAAAACCTTAAAATCACTATATAAATCATATAACTTTTAGGTTAAAAGACGAACAGATAAAATTACAGGAAGGTGTACAGTCTTTGCCACAATTAAAAGATAGACAAATTGAACTTGTTAATCTAGTTGAAACGGTTAAAATCGAATTACAACAATCACAAGCGAAAGTTAATCCTTTGGGACAGAAGCTTAAAACTGCTATAGTTGAAAAAGCTAAATGCAAAGAATTGAATCGGAAAAAGTTGCAACAACTACAGTCAAAGTTGGAAAAGCATAAAAATCTGAATCAGGATATAAAAAGGTATATAAGAAAATGACTTTATTTAAATTTGGTGAATGAAAAACAATTTTATCTTAATCTAATTATAAATTTGTACATGCTAAATATCTTAATGAATAATATATTTTCAAATTAAAATAAGTTATAAATACTTCATAAGCTTTTTTCGAGTGTAGGTTTGAAATTGGGTTAAAATCATTTTAATATGCATTTATCGTATTTACTGACCGGACAAGACTCTCTTTAACGACAATAGTCGAAATTGTGAATCAGTGGAAGACGAAGGAAATGTTGATCATCTGCTCTGCCACTATCTGGCACTATCCAGATGTGTGTATCTACTACAGGTCTATCTTTTCCTAAATTTATATACGTCATCCGTAATGGAATCGCCAAAGATATTGCGCACTTTATTAAAACAAAACAATAGTTTTCTAGCCAAGACAAGTGTCGTTATTTTAGTTAGCCAATAACTCGATTGTCTGTCCGACATTGCATTAGAAATATTGACCGCTATATAAAAGTGGCACAATTATTCGGGATAATATATTTACAATGAGCATTTCACGTGCTATCATAACAAGACCCCACCTATTGAAGCCTAAGTGTGCTACATTTGTAGTTCTACCCCTATTGACGTCGCCCATCTATTTCCATGTCAAACGACTAATTTGAGTTCTACTGATATATTGTAGAATGATATGTTAAGATACTGTTATTTATTAAGATAATTGATTTCCTTATATGCACTCAGGCAAAAAAATTAAAATGTAAAAATTTCGTCTATTCAATTTCCTAGTTTTGGAAAGGTGAGCAAACACCTTTCTTAAGTTGTTCCATTGTGAAAATTTTGTTATCCTTATATATATGTGTTTTTTAGGTCTCACTGGATTACAACAATAATAATAAAAAGTGGAAGATTGACTGTCATTGACATATATATATTTATCTATAATAATACATACTTTATTATAATAGTGTAGTAATAAAATTTAATTTAACCTGGCTTAAGATAGGTTATTTAATACTCAAATTGTTAATAAGTAACATTTACTTAATTTTTGTTAAAATTTTAACCAATTTTAGTGTTAAAAAACTGACCTTAAACCCGATTGAATTAAATTTTATTGAAATGTAGGTTAAAATAATGTTTAAATATTATAATAATATATTTTTCTTAAAATATTTTTAACTCACATTTTCGCTAAGATTTACTTTACAATTTAAGAATTTTAAAACCTAAAGTTTAAGCTCCTATAGCATCTTTACAATACCTTTTTTAAATACAAGAATTTAACTTATTAGGTGTACCGGTATGAAGTGAGCGTAAAGATACAAATGTTCCGACAGGGAACATTTGTTGTGAACGAGCCTTTATTTTTTTTGTTTGTTTGCTATGACATGTGTGAAATATATTTAGTATACATCAAGTCATTGAACAGACAACATCATATTTTTTCATCGTGTTAAAAATGTCGAATTTTGTATCAGAAAGTGATAATTTGCGGAAAGCATTAATTTTTTGTTTTCATTTGAAGAAAAGTGGTGCAGAGTCGCATCGAATGCTTGTCGAGGCATATGGTGATGATGCTCTATTAGAAGCAACATGCAAAAGACGGTTTCAACGGTTCAAAAATAATGATTTTGATGTGAGAAATGAAGAACGTGGAAGACCGCCAAAAAAGTTTGAAGACGCCAGATTTGGCTCCTTCCGACTACCATTTGTTTTCATCGATGGGACACGCATTGGCTGAGCAACACTTTGATTCCTACGAGGAGGTCGAAAATTGGGTGTCTGGTTGGTTTGATTTAAAAGACGAACAATTTTTTTGACGTGGTATCCACAAATTGCCAGAAAGGTGGTCAAAATGTGTAGAAAGCAATGGTCAATACTTTGAATAAAATGTTTTTTACTTTCCTATTAATAATTAGTGTTTTATTTTCACCAAAAAACGCTCATTTCATACCGGTACACCTGGTATTTTGTTAAACACACTAGACATCAAGTTTATAATTTCCTATATCAATAAAAACCAGGTTAAATAATGAATTGCTTGAATTTGCGGAAATGAATCTTGTTGAAAAAATTGATTCATTGAAGGATTCCATCAAATCTAATAAAGAAGATATTGCAACAAAGGTCTGTATTTGCAAATGTATTTAGTGTGCCCAAAACCAATTTTAAATGATCTGCATTTCAGAGTCAACAAATTAAAAACGCTATGGAATCATTGGAAGCTCTTAAGACAGAACTTTTACAACAGGAAACTCTAGAACGTGACTTAAAAGACAATAAGGAGCTTAAATTATTACAACAGAAAGAGAAAGAATTAAATGAGAAAAGTGAAAAACTTGCTAGAGATTTGGGAGAACTGGATTTTAACAGTGTATCTCGCGAAAAGAATAAACTTATTAAAAAGCGAGAAGATGCAGCTGTAAGAAAAGGAGAACTTCTTGGGCAAATTGGTGAAATCAATAATCAAATTAATAAAATAAAAAAAGAAATTGAAGAGCCAAAATATAAGGATTCATTTGTTAATTATCGCAAAGCATACTATGCAGTTGAAGTTACAAAGGCCCTGATCCAAGATTTGGGACAATATCGTGTTTCATTGGATTGGGCTCTTATGCAATTTCATTTCGAAAAAATGGAAAAAATAAATCAATTAATACGTGAATATTGGAGACTCATCTATAGAGGCAATGATATTGATTACATACAAATAAAAACAGATGAAATCTCTTCTGATGCTTCAGCGGATCGGCGACGTAGCTATACTTATAGCGTAGTGCAGTCAAAAAATAGTAATGAAATTGAAATGCGTGGACGTTGTAGTGCGGGTCAACGTGTGCTTGCTTCATTGATTATCCGTATGGCTTTAGCTGAGACTTTTAGTAGTAACTGCGGTGTGTTAGCATTAGACGAACCTACAACAAATTTGGATCGTTTTAATATTGATTCATTATGCCTTGCACTTAATCGAATTGTAGAAGAGCGCCAAGCTCAGTCTAATTTTATGTTGATTATAATCACGCATGATGAGAATTTTATTTCCGCATTGGGAAAAATAGATAGTTATCATCGAGTTTCTCGTAACCATGAATGTAAATCTGAAATACGTAAAGTTAATATAGCTTAAAGTGCAATTAAGAAAATAGTTGTGTTACAATTGTACAATCACATTGCCGTTAAAATTGTTTTTTTATTATTAAATATTTAAATGTTTTGTTTTTTTTTTATACTTGATATTTGTTAATTTAACATCCATTTTAAAAATGAAAAAATTTTATACTTCTGTTTTTGTTAATAAAAAGGAGTGCTAATAACTACCAATAAAAAATGTTACAAGCATATATCATTTGTACTTTCTTTACAAATTAACATTAAAAGAATTTTTTTTATAAATATTTTAAATTGGAGAATATTATTCATATATCTCTACAATTGTATCCAAAAATTTGACAAAAAGCTATTATACATTATATATAAATACAGTTAAACTTCCATAACATAAACTTCTATAACTCGAACTAAAATATATGCAACAGGGTTTTAGAGAGCAAATTACGTACAATTCTGCTTCCATAACTCGAATTTCTATAACTCGAATAAAAATATTGTCACGTACCATTAGGAATATGGGAAAGTGCATTCAATAAGTCGAATTTTTTGTTTAAGTATGAATCCACTTTAGTGTTAGGGGAATTCCGTTTTCACAAACCAAATGTTTAATTTTTTCTTCCATACGTTGTTTCTTTGTGCAAACGCTAGTCGCTGACAGCGTGGTGTAATGAACAATGAAATTTGTACATCAAGCTTCCCTACAGATGACGATATTATTGAGCATTATAGTTCTGAATTAGTGAATACGATTCTAAGCAAAATGGAAACTGATGATGAGGGTTCGGTGGATAAAATTGTTCATTAGCCTTTCAAGAATAAAGTAGAAGAGTCAATCAAAATTTAAAATTTTTATTTACAAATGAATGATACTCGAACTGATATAGTGATTATCAGCTTTGAATAAATTAGAATTTTCAGTTAAAGAAAATAAAATAAAAGTAAAATTCCAAACCCTTATTTTTGAATATTCTTGTCAGTTAATATGATGGAGTTAACTCGTCATGCAATACAAGAGGTAGTGAGAAGCAGATACAACATATGTTATTAATATGTTAAAATGATGTTTTGGCAGAATTAAATAGACATAAAAATTTGGATGTTCAGCAAAAAATTAGAGAATTTAATTTAAAATATATCTGCCGTGTGGCTAATGTCAGTTTTAATTAATTCTGGGATGGAAATGATGTCGTTGTGGTAGCCCGCAGGGATCTGTAAAGCAGATTGTTATAGGATATATGTGACAAATACATGGATTAGGATGTGGATCGATAATGGTTTTTGAGAGGAAGGCGATTATTAGGAAGTGGAAGTGAATCCAAACGACTATTGACCTTAAAGGGATGGAAATATGATGTTGCTCGCTGTATTAGCATTGAAAATGTACGTTCGAAAAAACATGAAATCGTTATTTTAATGTTCTAACAACTGAATCCAAGTACTTTACCGAAGCGTAGTATTAAAATCCATTTTGAACGAAAAATTGACACAAACAATTTTTTTCTACAATATTTCAATTTTGTGGAACATATTTTTTATGGAGATAATCTTAATTTTTTGTGGAAAATGGATGTCAACTAAGTTTCACAAATGTTCATTTTGATGAAGAGTTCGTAGAAAGCTTGTGAGTTCAAATTTACTCAATTAATTTGAAACTGCTCTGGTAAAACCGCATTATTCTCTCTAATTTCCTTTACGCGTTGTCAATTTGAGTGAGAATACTCCTAAGGTGTTTTAACTATAAATGAAAGATCTAGTATTTTTTATAATTATTGTAAACTATATCCTTACTCATGGTTAACATAAGTAAATAGATATATTTAAAAGTAAACTTCTTTATTATCCCCTAATTATTGGAATGTGGTTTCTGTCGTTAGTTTTCTATGGATCGTTGGCATACGTTTCTTGTTTTTTTTACTATTAATACACCGAGGGAAGTTGATATAACTTAATATAAAAAATTAAATAAATAATATACCAGATAAATACATTTGTTCAATTAGGTTAAATAATGAATAATTTAAAATATGTTCGCAATGCAACTCATTGCAATTAATTTAGAATAATTATTTGTTTAATTTGCAATTAAACTGTTTTATTTGTTTATAAGAACAATTCAAATGCAACTGAACAAATATTTAATTAATAATCAATTGTGAATTTAATACTTACAATACTTGGTAAGTTTTTCAGCTATATCGTATAAATAGACTTGAATATTAACTATTGATCAGTTAGTTTTGGATTTACAAACCGAGATATAAATTCATTGAATAACAGACTAAGGATGTTGTCCTCACACTTCATACTTTTATTCTTATTGATCACCACTTTGCTGTTACTATGCGCTCCTGCAGCAGAAGCAACATTGCTTTTGTTCCTGTGCTTGGTTAGATCACCATTGTGTCCATTCAGAACAACAACTACATAATAGCATGGATTTGGTAAACTAATTGCAAACAATAAATAAAATTATGTGCATGTAATATAATTTGTTTTTTTTTCGTCCATTATTAATAATTTTCCATTAATTAGTTATTAATGATTAAATTATAATTAATCATTCACACATCCTACTGTTAAGCTTCTTTTTACATAAAATAATGCGCTCTTGTAAGTTTCAGGTTAGTGGTTTCTTTATAATGTGTTTGATGGATTGTCTCAGAGCGTTCTCAATCCTTTTAGGCGTATTTATTTCATATACTCCATTTTCTCATTTGTCTTTAGTAAGAGTTCTTTAGTGGAAATGCACCAATATGGAAATGGAAATCCAATCACCATATTTTTAGTATTTGGTATGATAGATACTCTATCATAAAAGAGAATTTTTTGAACATTTGTTGGTTTTATTTTTTTTGAAATTTGCTGCAATATTCATGTTATTTTTTTCCGGTGATCAAAACTGATTTGGTCTGTCTTCTAAGCGATGTCATATCTTTGTGAGTTTCACATCTCCTTGTCTGAAATCCTCCCAAGAATGTTAAAGAGTTCAAACGAATTTCGTCATGTTTGTTGAGACATCGATTATACTCTTCATTTTATCTGTATATAATATATTAAAATATGTTGATAGTTTATTGTATCGCTTACTTAATAAAAAAAAATAAAAAAAATGTGTGCATCAAAGCACACGGGTCATCAAATAATGACCCGTTATGATACCACGGATTAGCGTTGTTCGTACGGGGACTAGAAGGACCACGGTAGCCATGGTCTATACCTATGTTGGAAGGTACGACCAGGCAAATTAATCAATCCAGCAACTCTATAAGCTTGGTCAAGATCTTAATTTTGCAGAATGACAAAAGGTTTGCAAGGTTGATACGAAAAGAAGATCAGTAGAATTTGCATCTTCTAACCAGTGATGGAAACTGAAACATGTGGAATACAGTTTCTTCATTCCTCATTCGTAGAGCCACAATTATTACAATTGTCAGTTTGGATAAGGTAGACTTTGAGATCTGAATTCGCATACGTCTGTTTTTTTAGTTATATACTTATCCTAAAGTCTTCAATCTATATATAATAAACGCTGCAAGGTTTAATAAATTTTTATTTTGCGCTTTAATTTGTGAAAAAATCATAAAGCACAATAAAGTAATTCTTTACATGTTATTTTAATAATTACATTGCATATACTGAATTTAATATTGACAAAAAATAGAAATTATCGACCCATGCCCTCAGTGTATTGCCTAATGACAATATCCGGACACGATGAAGTATAGTCACAGTCATATACAAAAAGGGTATAAACTTAACTCTACAGAAATATTTGATGGCATACTCTACCCTCATCCGCAAATTAAATATCACAAAAAATAAATAAATAAGAATATATACCAGTCTCCGTACGTCCGTGTTTCTTTGTATGAGAAGCTACAATATCGATAGATATTCAAAAAGTCGTAAGTCCAGTCCTCTAAAAGTTTTCATTTACGCGTTTCGTCTGGGAACTATCTAGACTCATCAGAGTGGAGAAATATGTAAAAATAATAAAGAAATAATAACACCTAAAACCTGAAACTTATTGTTAGCACTCTTACATACTATAATATGTTGCCATTGCCAGTAGCCTATAAAGTTATATAGTAAATATATTTTTTCCATATCGTAGATTTCCTTTGTAAATTTCTTTATGGTCAAATTGTATTTCCTAACGGTAATTGCTTTACTTTTGAAGAAGAGATGAAGTATATCTTCTTTTAAGGTATTAACCAACGATGATACGAAGTTCTTTACACCGTTTTGAATTTTTTCTGGACGTCGCTTTATCTTTCGACGATTTTTTGGTAATGTAGATGAATTCATTGAAAGTGATGCCCATGATGTTAACAACGAAGATGCATCGGATTCCATCTCGGATGCTGTTGGAGCTACTGTTGATGACAGAGAAGATGGTGATATTGTTATAGGCAATGATGTTGTAAAAGATGTTGCAGCAGGCAATGGCATCGATGCTAGTGGAGCATGTGCTGGTGAAACATAAGGTGTGGATTTCATTAATTCATTTGTCGCACGGGTTCTGTAATAAATTCAATTAAAGATGGTTATATTAAAAAAAAATTACTTCTGTTATAATTATATAGCTACTGTAGTTTACTACAACAGATAACACTAGAATACTATAGAATAATATGAACGGTATTGGTTCGAAAGTTTCATTAAAGAATAACAATGCATTATAGTATTTATAATATTTATGATTTTGCATTTACCAAAAACCAAAATTTGTATTTGTGCTTTTAACATATTTAAAAAATGTTATTACTGCCAACAAACAGTTTTTGTTATATTTCATCAACTTTCTTAAAAGATTTTACCTTCGGGTATATTTATTGCGGCACGAATTGTACACCAAGCTTTTCCCTTCAATGAATACATTTTGTAATGCGGCCGTTTTTTATTTCATCAAAATTTTATTATTTTTTACTAAAATTATTTATTGTTAAACTTGTTTATTATTTTAATGTCTTATTTTTATTGAAACCGCAAAATTAGCAACACAAAATATTGCGCGACCATCCTTTTAGTTGAATACTAACATAAAATTGAAAAAACAATACACACAAAAGTAATTTTGACATTTCGCATAAACAGACTATTTGACATTTCGCTTCACTGACAGTTCTCTGCGACAAAAATTTTATAAATTCTTGAGAGACAATTGATACAATTTATGTCGCTCTTGTGGTAAATATGTACGAAGCGAATAAACGCAGGATTTGAGTATTGGTTGTTGATCATTATTCGTAATAATTATTTTGCCATACAGTGAAACCTGTTGTTATCACTTGTCTGAGTTAACAGAAATTTATAGAAAAGATGGTGTGAAACTGTAAAGTTTTAGATTAAATTGAAATAGTAATTTTTTATATACTTATCCAGGGTTTAGAAGCACAACACCATTAAAAATAATAATACAAATACTAAATTTTTAAAATTTTTGCAACTTTGTTATTAATATATATTACCATTTTTAATTAATAGGGCCTATTTACGCTATCATGAACGTGAGATGAGCTTGACGACAACATGAACAGTTTACACTATCATGAACTGTCATGAAGCGTGAAATTTGTTTTGATTTGTGTAAACGTATAGAATGCGTGTGTAGTAGTGCATAGCACAGAAATTTAAATTCAGCATAAAAATTACTTAAAAGGTGTTCGGAGCTTCAACAATGGATCTAAATAAGGAATTACGCACAACGCTTGCTGCTCAAAACACGACTTAATTCGTTTCATAATAAAAATCAGAAAACCTACAAACACTCTCATCTATCGGAAACCGGTTTTCAAGTTCATGTGCATGTTACGTTTATGATAGTGTAAATGGGCTCATATATATTTTGACAAATTTGATATTCAGTGTCCGACTTTAGTAAACGTTTCATTTTCTATTTATATATATTTTATTGGCATATTACATATTACATTACATACATATATAAAAAGCACTGCTATAGGAAAATATATTAATAGTTTTATTCAATCTTTGTAATGTATTGCCGTCCTGAAAATGACTTGACATTTTTCAAAGTGCCATTATAGACTTGATACGTATAATTAATATTTCTATATTTTACCCATTTCTTTTAGCTTGTCTCTAATAGACTTAAGAACGCACATTTCCAAATCGAAAAACTCGTCGACGTTTAAATTGCATTTTCGTACTAAAATCGCTTGAGTGTTGAAAAAATGGCCAACTTCATCATCATCTTCCTTCAAAGTATTTGCCAATGATGTTAAGAATTTTTGCGCACCGTTTTCAGTTTCTTCAATTCTTCGTTTTTTCCTTTGACGATTTTTTGGTAATGTAGATGAATTAGCAGATGGTGATGTCAATGGTATCAGCAACGGTGATGTATCCGATTCAATGTCGGATGTCGTTTGAGCTGAAGATGATAACAGTGGAGATGGTGGTATTTTACTAGACAATGATGTAGTAGTGGGTGAAGCGGCAGCAGGTAATGGCGCTGATGCTAGAGGATCATGTGCCACTGGAAATAATATTGGTGCAAGAGGATCATGTGCCGGTGACAAATCGGGCATTAATTCTAATGGTTCACTTTTTCGGCGGGTTCTGTAATAATATTTTTAATAAACAATTTCATTTTCGATTATATTTCAAAAAATTATTTGTTGTACAATAATAAATCTTCTGCAGTTTATCACAACAGGGAATTATTGTTACATAGTGCAGCGGATTAAAATACATACCCTTTTGATTCCATGGTATCTTTTAGGAATAACAATGCATTATAGTATCTATAAGGCTTTCGGCAATCCGTAACGTTGCCATTGCTATTTTTCATGTTGGCACTATACCGCACAAATGAATCTCGCAATGATCGCCAAGCGTTTCTAGCATGCTCTAAAATATAAAACAAATATATATGATATGATATGAACTATGATATAACTACTTATTTTTTAAATTAAACATTTATTAAAAACATAATATGGTTATAATAAAATTTCTTTGTTGTTGTTGTAACCCGCTGGGACCTACTTGTGAAGTCCCTTTGGGGGTGTTGAACGGCACTTGATCGTCGAACGAATGGTTTCGGGACGTAGACCCAACCGTTCTTGGTAACTGTGACTACCAGTAATTATTTCACTTCAATAATGTTTTGAAAACATTAAGATTGTTTACCTTCGGGTATATTTATTGCGGCACTAATTTTACGCCAAGCCTTTTCTTTCAATAACTGTAATTTGTATTGGGGATGCTTTTTATTGTATATAATTTCATTAACACGTACTAATGAAATCAAATGTTCAACTTCTTTATTATTTAAATGTTGCATTTTTGTTGTTCTTGTATAAATAAATCACAAAAATGCAATACGAAATAATGCACGCATATATGCACTTTTAAGCCAATGTTTAATTAAAACTAATGTTCAATGCTCAATTATGCGATTCTTCGTGCGCTTTATGGCCCATAACAAGTTGGTTGTCGCACTGCGCAGTATAAACGTTGCCGAAACTGAGATAATGTATGAAAATATTTCTCAAATATTGAGAAGAACTAAAATAGCAGAGCACAATGGAGCAAACAGTCGAGAGTACGCAACAAAAATCAACGTTCAAATTGTTAAACTTTATATTGTGACATCTGATGAAATTTACATATAACACATTTATTATAATTTTCGTAATAATTAGATATATGTAAAAAAAGTATAAATAATTTTGCGATTTTACATAAATATTGAGAAGAAACAAAATAGTAAAGCACGAATGAAGAGAGTTTGACATTTCGATATGTTGACAGTTCTATGCGATAACAATTGTTCGAAAATTTAACCGACAATCGATATGTTGGGCATTGTTGTTGTAAAATGCACACAACGAATAAACGCAGAATTGTGTGTTGGCAATTATTCGCGTAATCATTTTGTGGTACAGTGAAACCTGTTGCGTACGATGCTATTATACATGTGAACAAATGTTGAAGTTAACTGAAATTTATGAAAATGAAAGTGTCATATATTCGTAGGTTTTATGACACGAAATTAATAAAAATTTATTTAATACATTTAAAGTTTTTAACAATAGCTGCGTTTCAGCAAACATGATCCGCTCAATTTTACATGCAAAACAAAAACAATGGGGTGAACCAGCAATTGATCTGGTTCACTTTCTGGTTCAATGTGGAATGTATGTAAAAGATAAAAGTGGAACGTATTTTAATGCAAATAAGGTTGGCAATGTGATGCAACGGTGCAGTAAAATTATAAACAAATCTACATTTATATTTATTTATTATTGATTTTATTTACTTATTATTTATTTTATGTACTTATTTATTTAATATGTCGTTATTATTTACTTCTTTGTTTAAAGTAATATTTTAACTATTACTATAATTAAAATTATTACTTTATTTATTTACGTTTTATTATTATTGAAAAAGTGTTGTTTGATAATTTATTAAAATCAATTAATTTGAAATAAATATATATAAATTAAGTTGAATACATTTATTTAATTAAAACAGAACAATACATAAGGAACCAGGCTCTCCAACATAAACGTTTATAAAAAAACCATTTTCATCGCAAACTACCTGCAAGATTAAGCCATAGTCATGCTTTCTTTTGAAATAAGCCTATTTGCTATGGTGTGGTGCGTTTACATTTACATGTGTACTGTCTATGCAACCAATACGAACGGGAATTTTTTCGAAGTTTCCACTTTTGCATTATTAGCAAGTGCGTATTTTATAAGTTAATTTTCAATTGATATACGCTAAACACTAGTTCTTTTAATTATTCTCCATACAGAAGCTCTTGGTGTGCCAAAACAAATACCAAATTCGCAAAAAGTATTCATATTTGCCATATACCACAAAAATATATAAAATTCCTTCATTGCTCTCGTCCGATTGTGATCATCACGGTTATTATGCATTCGCTGATTGGAATTTATTAACAAATCTATTAAAAAATGAAACATAATTAATATATAGCAATTGTATTTTTTATGCGCAAATACCAATCAAATAATCTTTAACGAAAAAATTATTGATCGTTTCCACAAAACTTCCACTATATCTATGCTGATACACTTCATCCTTTGAGCTTAATACACTTGGACTAGTGTTTGAAAAGAAAATGGAGGAGTCAGTTTTGCTCGATAATTCGAATAAAATCTGCAATTTCCATTTATTTACTATAGAATTAAATTTAAGTTTTTAAGTAAATACTAAATAAAAACTTACATTTCATACTTCAGACATTTCAACAGATTTTATTTATTTTCCATTTTTTAGATTTTTTGTATTCAAAATTTTCTCACTTATTTTTTTAGCGCCAAAATTATTCACATAAATCAAAAAATTTTGTACACAAACCCAGCTGGCATAATTCATGCGTTGCCAATTATTTTCAAACGTAATCCGTATCGTTTCAGCAAAGATGATTCAGATCATTGAGCGGATCATGTTTGCTGAAACGCAGCTTGTGTGTTTTAAAAAAAAATTATTTTTATTTTAACATTTATTTCTTTTATTTAAACATTTATATTTCTTAAAGCATGTTTTCTTATATAATTTTTATAATACTGTTATGTAATCGCCTGAGTGTTTATTCGTATCCCAGGATTTTGTAAAAATGAAACGAACTTTAAAAACTTGAAGAAACTTTACTTATTATATTTGTTGAATTACAAAGAACTAGTATTTACTAGGAGTCAATTTAGCTTCCTCAAAACAAATTCCAAAACTAACTTTTTATAAAAATATCAATTGACGTAATGTTTAAATAATATTTAAACATTTCATTGCTACTCTGATGAAATTCGTAACAATACGTTTTTATTTTTATAATTGAGAAAATAATTAAAATAATTAAAATTATATATAAAATAATTGAGTCATTGCTCAATGCAGTTGATGTTGTGGCTGCAGCTGCGTTGTTATTTATTGTTTCTTCTTTCGTTTGGGTTCCACACATTGTTTTTTTAAATTTTGAAGTTGCGTGATCAGATCTTCCTTAGTATTTCCTTCAGCAATTTTTATCAATCATTTTAGATTGCCTATTTCCTTTGCAGTTTTTCGCTTCTTGCCACCTCTTTTATTTTTCTTTTTAGGTGCTTCTATTACTATCTCCTTGGTCCTTCCTACTGGATGAAGCGTTTTATACTCATCCAAGGTTATTCGACGGACTTAGATTTGCTTCTATTGCCTGTTGCAGTGTTAGGACTGCTTTGTTAAATAGCTCATCGAATTGTTTTTGAGACATTGTTGTGTCCGGTCTTCGGTGGGCGAAGTAACACTGCAGTGAACGTGGAGCGGTGACATGGTGGCCAGCCCGGTATGCTCGCCGGTTTTGGGGGTGATTCTTCTCACGTTCAGCAACAATCGCGGATATCAACAAAAATTCATGTCACCGGTTTGCTGTGGAAGAAAACCATTTTTGTGCGGAACCTACATCTAACACAATCACAATATAGCCATTGCCTAATTGATTTCGCTATATTGTAGCAGCTTGAAATGTCCTCGTCTGTTTTGTCTGTATCATCTTTCACACTACATTCACTCGGTCCCTCTGCAACTTATATACATTCTATTTTTCCCTAGCACTTCCACCACCGCCAAATAACTAAACCTTAATCCTGCATACTATTTGAGTTTTCCATCAAAAAAAAAATTTCTTCTCTTTTTCCTTTTTTTTTTTTTTTTCTTTTTATTTATTAGATTCAACAAAAGTCATGACAATAATAATCTTAGTAATCTTAAACCTAACTAATTAAATCATAATAAAAAAACAAAAAAAATATATAAGAGAACAAAAGAAAATATACACAACCAAATCTTTTAACTGAATTTTTTTAACAAAGTAACAATTTCTCTTTACACAAGATCGTGTGTCTTACCTTCCAGCTGCTAGAATGACGTCACCCACGCTGCTGTTGACCTAGTTGAAACTTATGAATAATAAAAAAAATATAGATGTATGTATTTAAAGGTGTTTGGGACAATCAATTATATGTCTTATATATTATATGTATATATAATATATACAATTATTATATGTATATTATTACTATTTCTCTTATTGTTTTTTTTCTTTTTTTCTATATCATATATAATTCTTAAGATAATCTTTAACATTTAATACAATTCAACTTTTGTTTTTTTTTTTTTTCTTTTTTTCAACTAAATTCAAAAGTATACATTCTTCACAATTTTATAAAAGTTAATGTAATTAATTAATATGTAGTTAAGTTAATATATTAAGATAATATAATTAAAAAAAATAAATAATAATAAAAAAAAATATATGAATACAGGCATGTACGTTTCTGTACAAGGTAAATCATTTAGTACAGGAATACCTGTACACCGCTGTGCCTTAACGGTGTGTATGGATCCTGTTGAATCCTTCCAATAAGAGTGTATTCTGCTTCCGATTTGATATTCTTACGGTCATGTCTTTATTTAAACATATTTCAAAAAAAAACTATTCATTTATTGGCACCGAACTCGTGCGTTTGATCCACTTTTTAAGAATATGTTTATAAACGATGCAAACTTAATGAAATTTTACTTCTTATCTTTTGGGTTTTAAAACAGCTTGGCTTTTATTAGCACATTTTCAAATTTAAGGGAATTTTTAATTATTATCTTTAGGGCGCTAAAACAATTTGGCCTTTATTAGCACTTTTATTCACTGTTTTACTTTTAATCTTAAGTTTTGAAATAAGCTTGGCTTTTATTAGCACATTTTCAAATTTAAGGGAATTTTTAATTATTATCTTTAGGGCGCTAAAACAATTTGGCCTTTATTAGCACTTTTATTCACTGTTTTACTTTTAATCTTAAGTTTTGAAATAAGCTTGGCTTTTATTAGCACATTTTCAAATTTAAGGGAATTTTTAATTATTATCTTTAGGGCTCTAAAACAATTTGGCCTTTATTAGCACTTTTATTCACTGTTTTACTTTTAATCTTAAGTTTAGAAAAAAATCTTGGCTTTTATTAGCACATTTTCAAATTTAAGGGAATTTTTAATTATTATCTTTAGGGCTCTAAAACAATTTGGCCTTTATTAGCACTTTTATTCACTGTTTTACTTTTAATCTTAAGTTTAGAAAAAAATCTTGGCTTTTATTAGCACATTTTCAAATTTCGGTCGTTCATCGACCAACAGCAAAGGAAAAGAAAAAAAGAAGAGACCATCACCGTGTCTGCTATGGCTTTTATATTCAATTCGCCTAACTGATAAATTCCTATCATGTTAGTGATCCTGTTAGCACAGCTTGCTTTCGTTAATTTGCGTTAGCTGGCCTTGTTTGACTTGAGGGTAATAACCTCTAATAAAGCTTTTTTTTCTTTCCCCTTTTCAATAAAGCTACAATTTGTCTTAGATATTTCAGGTGGTTATTCGCACTTGGCAATACTGTCCCCTCTCATTAAGTCAAACTTTACTGAAGCTTTTGTGAAGTTCGCCTTACTATATTGCACTAAACAAACGAGACTTGAACGTAAAAGCTTTACTTTTCGCCTTCTCTGTTTACCATTTTTTTGTTTACTTCTATTTTTACGGACAGCGTGCGCGCAATGCACGTTGTAGATTTAATAAATTGAAATTCTTTCAATAGTGAGTGCAAATATAACA